CCGCGCCTCCCCGCCCTCCCTCGGGCCATGACGCAGCCTTACCTGGGCACCGGCAGGTCCTGCTAGACAAGGAGCCCCAGGACACGCTGTGCACGGCCAGCCGCCAGCAGGCCATCTGCCTCATCTCCAGCCTCTGGTAGGCCCAGCGTCCAGCTGCGTGGTGCCAGCAGGGCGGTGGGGGCACAGGCCACAGCCAAGGCCCCGCTGGACGCTGGGGGCAGCGCGCCTGGTCGGGCATCCCCACTCCCCCAATCACGGTGGCAAGACCCGGCCAGGCGGGGCAGGGCCAGCTCCAGCCCCGGGGAGGCCCGCAGGGAGGGGAGTGGCCGACGGCTGGACGGCGGGACGCCCGCAGGCACCCCGGGCGAGAGCCGTGGACAGAGCCCGGCGTGGGCAGAGCTGTTGCTGTCCAGACTGAAGAATGGGCTTGGCATCACCGCCCAGAGCCGGCCAGTCGGGGCCAGGAGGCGCAGTGGACACAGCAGCGCCTGTCCGAAGCCGAAGGGCGTGCGGTGCCGAGTCCCGAGCCTCCTCTCAGGGGCCCCGCCGTCCTGTCACCCCCACAGTGACCTCAGGCCCCCCCCGGACTTGGAGATGAGGTCGCGGCTGCTGTCCACCTGCTTCCGCAGCGTGCTGAGCCTGCCGCTGCTCGACGTCCTGGAGAAGCACACCTGTCTCTTTCTGGAGCCGCCCAACGTGCAGGTGTGCGCCCGGCTCCGGCGCCCTTGGCCACGAGGACCCGCTGCCCCTGGCTCGGGGCGGGCAGCTGGACAAGCTGCCCCCTGACCCCCCGCACCAAGGCTGCACAGTGACATTTATTTTAACTGATCTTTGTCTCCATTTGCCCCCTGTAAAATGGGCACTTCACCCTCGAGTGGCAGACGCTGGGTGCCCCGCCTCGGCAGAGGGGTGCTCTGTCAAGGGAGGCTTACCTGGGCTCCCCGCCTCCCCGCTGGCTCTGACGACCCCTGGGCTGTCTCCCTGCCCGTCTCCCCGCCCGGACCATCCCCGCTGGGAGGCTTCCGCAGGTTGCCCTGGGAGGCGGCCCACCTCCCGGCCAGCTGCCCGCCCCTGCTGGGTCTCTTACCGGAAGCCGCCCCACCCCCACCAGCCCCGGGGAGGGGGAAGGGGGAGGCCGCCATTCTCCGGCCACCACCAGGGGGCGGTCAACCCA